CTTCCTGCTGACAGAAGCACTGTGCGGGCAGATGCCTTGATGTTTCAGATTTGTGTGATGTATATAGAGCATTCAATATATATTTCAATATACAAATGCAAGGAGTAAAGGCATTTGAGTTGATGCAGACTGTTGAGTTGCGAAAGAGCAGTTTGGTGGCAAGGAGTAGTAGGGTGGCAAATTCTAATCTGTTTGAAAAACAACTTGAAATTGTTTTGACAGAATTGAATTTGTAAACGCAAAGGAAACCACAAGATGAAATGACTTAAGGGTTATTAGCATTAGATTGTGAATCACAGCATGGCTCGGAGCCTGGTGAGTAAGCCTGGACACAGATGAGCCAACAGTAACAGGAATAATAGAAGGCATGATGGTTAAGAACCCGGGCTTTTTTGAGTCAGAGCTCTGTGGGCTCTGTGGGACCTTGGGGCAAATCACCTAACCGCCGTGGCTCTTACCCTTTCCCCAACTGTAAACACAGCCACTGGTGTCATATTGCATGGTTGTTGTGAAGATTACATGCTATAATGTGCTTATATACTGCGGCTCACATACGTTAAGGGGCAGGGTAGCATTATTATTTCCTTTGCTAGACCTCGTTATGTTTTGTTACTGCTATTCGTCAAGAGTGCCTTTTGATATGAAATTTTCAGCATATTAACTCTCAAGATCTCAAACGATGTATTCTTAGTTATAGTTGCTAAGAATCAGTCAGCCACTGCCAAACCAAAAAAATAAATAAATAATGCTCTTTGAATCCAGGGATCCTCCTCACAGCTTTGTGCTGGGTGGTAGACAGCTAGGTGCAGCATAAAGATTACTGGATTTGGAAAGGAGACCAGCTCCTATATCTGCCACATACTCACCTCACCCTTGCTTTAGCTCTCAGAGCCTCCATGTCCAGACCTGTAAACCGGAACTAAGAATTCTGTCCTTATTTCTAATGGTCAGAATTATCAGTTCCATTTTACAGGCCTGGGAATCGAGGCCTAGGAAGCTTAAGTGGCGTGCAAGCAGGGGTGGGGTTAGTATGTGGCAGATATTGAAGCTGGTCTGTAAGTGGACCCAAGAATGCTAACCTTATTTCCTATGATCAGGGAACCCTGGTGGTGTAGTGGGTTAGGAGTTGGGATGCTAACCACATCAGCAGTTTGAAATCACCAGCTCTTCCATAGGAGAAAGATGAGCTGTTCTACTCCTATGAATTGTTACCATCTTAGAACCCTTTGGGACAGTTCTATCTTGTCCTATAGGGTCACTAGAAGTCTGGGGGTGGGGGTGGGTGTTACAGTCTCCAGAACCTAAAGGGCAGTTCTAACTTATCCTATAAGATTACTATGAATTTGAACTGACTTTATGGAAGTGAGGTTTCTTATGACCAAAATAAGCTAAGGTTCTCAAATGCTTTGAGAAGCAACCACTTGCTATAGAAAAAGGAAGTTGCTATTCCAGGTCATCTAGTCCACTTGTAATGTGATTATACCAACCAGGACATGCAGGCAAGAATGTACTGTAAGCCCAGACAAGGTAGACAATGATCCATTAGGAGAACAAAGCAAAAACTCAAAGCAAACAAAAACCCCTCTCACTGCTATTGAGTCGATGTCAACACAGAGTGATCACATAGGACAGACTAGAACTGTCCCTGTGAGTTTTCAAAACTGTAATTGCTTAAGGGAGTAGAAAGTGCCATCTTTCTCAAGCAAAGCACCTACTGGTCTCCAACTTCTGACCTTTCAGGTTGCGGCGCAAGGCATAACCACTATGTCACCAGGACTCCTGAGCAAAGCAAAAGAGGTCAACAAAATGGTGAGGGGCACTTTGGGAAAAAAATGTCCACTGGTTTGAATTTAAGACAGGTTATCAAAATAGACTGCACTGGGCCTGAGAGACTGCGGAACACCAGGGTGGAGAGCTGGTGGTGGCTGTGCTGTCCTTGGGAATCCAAGGCTGGCTCAGTGTGAACCGAAATGGGTTTGTGTGCATCTGGCTGTTGGGCACTGTGGGGCGGACACACCAGTGCGATGGGCGCATTGGGATCCAGTAGACTGAAGTGTCCATATGCAAACAGTGGGTCCCGTTTCACGATTCCAGCCCTGGAGGTGGGGGATGCTGGGGCAGTTGACCCCGGACACACATGGGGTCATTATGAGTCTGAATGGAGGCAACGGCCACTCTTTTCAGTTTTCATTTTTTTCCTTCCTTTCTAGGCAAAGAGTCGGGAGAAAAATGGAGCTTTCTACTCCTGTAAAGAGGTACTCCCGGAAACCCACAGGAGCCGCTCGACCCTGCCCCGTGGGGTCACTATGAATCGGCATCAACTTGAGATAAAGAGATGAAGCCACGGCTCTAGAAAGGGATGAAATGTCTTGAGAAGTCCAGCCGTCTCCTTCCCCTCCCGCCAAGTCCCAATTCCTTACTTTTGGCCCTGCTTAGTTTGTACAGCCCTGAGCCAGTCGGAGCTGGGTGGAGACAGAGAAAAAGAACTTGCCACCAAAAAAAGGAAGCAGATGGGCAGTGAGGCCTCAACCTGATTTATAGAGGGGCCTCTAAGCACCACCACCACCCCCCCCCAAACAGGAGGAGGGTGTGGTGACAAACAAGGTCGGTGAAACGCCCTCTGCTGTCACATAGAATGCAGGCCATGAAAACGTCGGCATTCGTCATAAAATCCAGAGCATCCACGTCTTAAAAGCTGACGAGTCTTCCTATGGTAAGCATGGCACACGAGGCATTTAATTCATCCACAGAGAAAGCCCACTCATTAATGGGGGTGATGCCAAAAGAATCCTATAGAATCCACAGTGCTTCAGGGGAGAAAAGGAAGAAAAAGACGTCCCTCTCGATTTTCTTTCAAGCACAACAGAAGGACTTTTGTGACTTTCTCCAATGGTGCTATCTTTTACAAGCTTATTAAGGCAAAAATGGCTCCTTTTCTTCGGCTGCTGATGTGACATGCTGTGGTTTCTCTAGCTGACTGGAATAGCCAGCCTCTCGGACAGGTGTTTGCCCTGTTTCCCCTCACTTCGTCATCGGTGAGCCACCTCAGCCTGGGGCTGGGTTGCTCTGAAAGAAAGAATTCTAATTGGGAGACATGGATGGGGATTTTGAGATGCGGCTAGCATTCCTTTGGGAATTCACAAAGACCACTAAAGCCATCTATGTCTGTGACCCAGAGAGGACTAGAGGACAAGGGAGGGTCTCCTCTGGGCCACAGTGAGAAGGCTGTCAAGTCCCCCAAAGGATTGTGGTGCATTTCCAGTTTCAGTGCTTTCCTTCCAATGGTTAGGAGCAGGTATCTTTGTCCCCAGGGTGCATCCCATATGTGCATCTCCTAACAGCCACGCCCCTCCTCTTGGGCCACAGCACGAGGTGACCAAGAGGCTGGTAGGCCTTTATCTTACACAAAGAGTCAGCACTGGCCTACTTCATGAGGTCTCTCTCATCAGCATGGTAAGATTCATCGCTGCAATAGTCATCCTCTTGGGACAGAAAAGGTGCTCTTTCATCTTCCCTTGTTACTACTCTTCCCCGGGACTTGCTTCTGAATCCTGTGAAGACAGAGCTGAAGGAGTACCTGGGAACCTGGTGGCACAGTCAAGTGCTCCGTGGCTGTCCAAAAGGTGGGCAGTTGGTACCCACCAGCTGCTGCACAGGAGAAAGATGGAGCAGTATGCTTCCCTCGAGAGTACAGCCCTGAAACCCCTCTGGGAATTCTCATTGGTCTTACAGTGTTGCTATAGGTAAGGATCCACTAAACAGTAACAGGGGTTCGGATTTTTTTAAGAAGGGACTTGGAGGCTCTAGGTTGCACACATGGTCATGCTCTGGACTGCAAACCAGAAGGTTGTCTTCTGGAATCCCCCCAAAAGCCCTTTGGAAGACCTGGTGATGGACGTCCCAAACTGACACACATGGCGTCATCAAAGTTGGAATCAGCTTGTGGGCAGTGGATTAGCAAGCCATTTAGCAGGGGAATGACCAGAAAGAGGCAGAGGGAACTGTGGAAACTGAAGCATGAAGGCACCCGTTTTCCCCTGACTCACTGGTGGTTTCCAGCCCACACTGAAGGTCTGCGTGGTTTTCTTTAAGATGACACTGATTCTCACGTATCATAATACTGAGCATTTCTTCATGACCCGGAGCTTATAATGGAAGTGGCATGATATGGTTGTGAGGATGGTGCAGGACCAGGCAGTGTTTCGCTCTGTTGTGCATTAGGATCGCTATGGGTCAGAATCAACTTGATGGCACCTAACAACACCACCACCCCGCGACAACATGACCGATATCTGTTAAATATGAGGAGAGGAGATTCAGAACGATGAAGTCATCTGTCTGAGCTCAAGGCAGATGGAACTGCATGAGGTCTCTTGACTCCTAGACTTGATAACCCACATTGCTTTATGATGTCAACAGCTAGACAGAGCAGCTATTTGGGGACGGGGGACTTTGCCTGGGTTTCACATCATGGTTTAATTGTTTACTTTGGGATAGGGTCTAGCAACCCTTTTCTACACTGCTTTTACCCCCATGCCCCTCCATTCCCATGCATAAATTAACTCCCATGAGAAACATCTCACACAACAGGCCCTCGTTAGAGACCACAGTCTCCATAGCCGTGTTCCATCCACAATGCAGAAGGTGTTCGCAGTGAGCATGAATTGAGATCTCAGAAATAGGAAGCCCAATAGTTAAGGCAAGATTAAACCTATGATTTAAAATGCATAGGGAATCACTTTCCTAAAGGAGATGATGAATTCTCAAAAGTAAGACCCAATGGAATGGGAGAAGGTTAGTGAGCTCAGAAGACCAGATTGACTGGAGAATGAGGAAGGGACCATTCAGAAATGACACCAGTGGGAGGACCAACTGGGTCTTTAAGCGGGATGTAAGGAATCTCCATCATGATCCTCCTTGAAACAGAAGAGTAATTACTTGAAACAAGCAGAGAGATCACTTCATTAATGAAAGGCACAGAAATAAAAGTTTACACTCACCCGCAAGATCTCCTCCACACAACTTGGATCACTGGTAAGGCTTGCCTGAAAGAAAAGAAAACCAAACAAAACCAATTACACACAAGCTAGACATACTCAGAACAGATGACTCGGCGAAAAACACAAAGATCTTTTCGTGATCAATTATTTCCTCGTAAATAGAAAGCAACAGTCATCTACAAATGGTCACTTTTGTCAACAGTAATGAAGGAGTCTCAATACCGTGGAAGGTGAAGAAAGAAAGGGCTATGTCTGTTTCTGGGTTTCTGTGAGACTTGTTCTCTTTGGGCTTGTCTTTGTTCATGCGCCCCAAGAGGAAGCTTCACTTTGATCTCAAAGGTCATTTTGACTCTCTGGGATATTGAAGTGGATGGTTTCTAAATTTAGAGTCTTAAAGGAGGAGGCCTATAAGTATACACCCCAAAACCATGGAAGCAGGAGTGTAAACAGATACTCAGTACAGCATCCTTCACCACAGTCAAAAGGTAGAGGTAATCCAAATGACCAGGAATGGGAAACAGAAGGTGGTAGAGCCATACAATAGGATATTATTCAGCCAAAAAAAAGAAAAAAGGAGTTCCGATACATACTACGACATGGATGAACCCTGAAAACATTATGCTACTAGATAAATCACAAAAGGAGGTATATCGTATGATCTCACATATAAAGCTAACCAAAATATGCACATGCATAGCGGCAAACGTTTATTAGTGACCACAGGGGCCTAGGCGAGTGGAGAGTTTTTCTTTAATGAGTTTCTGTATGCCGTGACGGAAAACACTGGGGCACAGGGGTGAAGGGAGCATAGTGCGGTGGACGTAATCAATGTCACTGGATTCAACACTTAATAGGGGTTCAGCTGTCACATTTTGGTAATGCATATTTAATCACAATAAAATAATAAAAAGGTGAAGCTGGCACGAACACTTCCATGATTAAATTGAGTTCCTTTGTAGCCTGGTTGTCCAAACAGGTGTTTTCAATTCTTATCCAAAAACACTAGGGCCAAACTCCCGTGCAAATTTCAGGTTTTCCATGTCACATAAAATCTCAGAAATATACAAAGTGAGCCCTATGACCCTTTTCTCCCATCGTAACACCATAGCAATCACTCAAAATTCGATCAGCTCGCCAAAATGTACTGAAGACTCTCACTTTGCGTTCGCATACCGACAACTTATAGTCTGTTCTGTGGGTGGTCTTCACCTTGTTCTCACTGAAGAGTTTGAGCTCTTCCATCCTCTGATTGATTTCATTTCTTTGTATTATACCCAGCAATGTCCATGTGTCTAGTCTTGGTTTATATTATGTCAAAAAAAACATTTGAAATGAATAAGTCATTGGTCTTGTGAAATTTTATCATGTGATTGCTAAGGTCATTTCTATCACCGAGGCCATATTTTTTCAACTATTGATTCTTGTTTCCAACTTTCACATTCAAATCGCCAATAATTATCAGTAATATTGCTTGCATGTTTGATTAATTCAGACTGCAGATATTGGTAAAGTTTTTCAATTCATTTATGTTTTACATTGGTAGTTGGCATGTATATTTGAGTAATAATATCAACTAGTCTTCCCCTAATATCACTGCTCCCCTTATTGGTTCTGAGGGGTTTATCAGTTTTGGATTCCCTGGGTAGCGAGCTCATATCTGTGTGAGTATACATGTTCTGGCTAGCCAGATTTGTAAGATAGAATTGGGGTCATGGTAGTGGGGCGGTGGAAGCATTAAAGAACCAGAGGAAGGTTGTGTGTTTCATCGGTGCTATACTGCACCCTGACTGGCTCATCTCTTCCTTGTGGCCCTTCTGACAGGGGGTGTCCAATTAACTGATGAGCTTTGGGTCTCCACTCTGCCCTCCCCCTCATTCCCATTGATATGCTTTTTTGGGTTTTGTTTTGTGAACAGTCTATTTCAACTCAACAATGCCTAACATATTTATCTTCGTTGCTCCATTTTATTTCTGAAGATTTCTAATTTTCCTAGATTCATACTTTGTCCCCTTCATGTTATTAGAATAAATTCTACTTTAAGATTATCTTCTTTAATTTTCTTTTGATCCACCTTCCAACCTGCGGGGCTCATCTTTTGGCGCTATCTCAGACAATATTCTGCTGCTAATCATAAGGTTTTCAATGGCCAGTTATTTACAGAAATAAATGATCAGGTACTTCTCATAGTCTGTCTTAGTCTGGAAGCTCCACCATGGATGACACTGTTGACAATTGAAATGCCAGTGGCATAGCTTCCAGCATCACAGCAACATACAAGCCACTACAGTACATGATTCGTGATACACATAAGAAATTACCTTAAAAACAGATTTTAGACAAGAATTGTGTCATTTTGGCTGAGTACCGTTCATTTGTTCCCTTACAAGCATTTTCTGAGGGCCTGAACTCAGCCCCCAGGGCTTAGGCGAGGCAGATATACAAAAAGAACAGATCATTCTGCCTCATTGAGTTTGCAGGCAGGAGGGGAAGGTGGATATGAAGACTCACACACAATTGCTACAAACGTGAAGGCCCAAGGACACTAATTCTGCAACAAATGAACAGGTTTGCAAACAAATATATATACGATTGGGTAATTATGCAATCCATATCCCACTCTTAGCACTAAGTTTATGGACATTTCTTATACCGATCTCTACAGACATGCTTCAAATTGACTTGTGAACAAAACTGGACATTGTCTTTTAAAAACAACCTAAACATACACTATTAACTTATAAATGCAACTATGTGATACTATCTCCTTATGTCAAATTTATGATACTTTACCTTATACACCATTTGATATTCTGGGTTTGACGTATCAAAAGGGTTGCTGGGGTCAGGCAGTATGACAATCTCCACTGCATTGCTTGTTTTTCCGTTTGATGTTTACTTTCTAAGAACTCTTTGGCTATGTTTAGATTTATTACTGTACTACTGCGTTCCTGAATAAAATGGCTTTACTGGGATTAATACCTAATTTGTGTCCAAGTCAAATTGTCGGGTCTCCATAGAGATAGGTACAGCACTCAGAGAATTTCCAGATTAGAAGGCTTAGAAGACAATGAATTTGGATATATATTTGTCTCATTGAAAAGTGAGCATAAATTGTACAAAGTCAATGTAAACAATTTCTGTAATTTTCGTTGAGGAGATTGAAATATGGTCAAGTGACCCATCCCATGCACCTAGTGTGAGAATCCATAATGCCAATGTGAGCCTTGGAGATGCACGTCGAATTTCCTTAATAGAGCATTGGGAAAACTTTCTTGACCACTGAATCCTTCACTTTTCTTGTTTTGTTTTTCCCCTCCAATGAGCAACTATTGCTATCTCACGGCATGAATGCTGGTAGTGCATACACCAGGCAATGCTGTTTTAACACATGACAGGATAATAGACCTCAACTGATTATTCTTAACCCCAAATAAAATCTCATTCTACTGTTGAATACTCCAGTGACTGGTTTTCCTGTGACAATCCCTGGATGTCTAACAAATACCTTCCCCCCAAACAAAGATGAAAATGATGGTAACAAAGGCACAAATTGACAACATCGTTATTGCATTAGATCCTGAGGACTGCCTGTGTCCTTGTCTCATGAAAGGGATCTTTGTTTCCTTATTCCCATACAAAGACATTAATGTGAGGTTGAAGAGAAATAGGACAAAATGTCAACAATATGCAGACTGGGCAAGAGCATTTGCCTAGAAATCAAAGGAGTTGGGTGGCGAGTCCTGGCAACGGGACTTGGGAACCACTTGATAACTGAACACTGTATCCCGCTCGGCTCCTGTTTCCCCCATCTGTAATACAAATAATAATGGCAAGCATGCTTGTCCCTTTCAGATCTCACGGAATCCCCGTCAGCATCCAATCGGGAAGTGCTGGAAACATGCAATGCCCTGCATGCTGAGCCCGGGGATTACCCTCGGCCCAGTTGTCCTCTTCCCTGCTATGATTAAGCCCAGCCTTCTCTTCTGTTCCAACCAAGATTTGACTCCCTCTTGCCAACTGCAAATATCATTTCTACACCTGGAATTATAAATATCCATTTCCTTAGAGACGGGATGGTGGTGGTGGATGGACTCAAAATAAGAAGCGTTGTGAACTCTGGGGCTTTGCAGCAAATCTACTAATGACTTCCTGGAGACAGGCGGCAGGAGAGCGAGCGGGACAGATTCTCCAGACAAGCAAAGTCAAATCAAAGTGCAGCCACACCCAGAGTTCAGGTGCTTTCTTTTAAAGAAGAGTGGAATCCACCATTCTATGGGAGTCACTAGCCCTTCACTTTCAAAGAGGCCTGCCCTCCAGCTGTTTTTGTCGCAAGGCAGTTGAACCCCAAGTGCTTTTTAATGAACCAGCAAACATTTCCTCCCTGGCTTGAACAGTGCTGGGCATGGTGAGTGGCAGATGGGGGGATGCTAGTAAGGCAAATAATTCAGAGACTTGGCCTCCTCTCCGAGTGAAATATCTAGAGGGGACCAGACAACAAACAATTACAGACCCACTGGAACACTCTGTAAGGTAGGGCTGACAAGAGTAATAGGATCCCTTCATTCATCAAGTCAGTCTATTCAGCAGGCCCCCCATTTAGTTCTTTAGACAACAAATCCTGATGGAGCTCCCACTGTGTTTAGGAGGGTGCCAAGGGGGAGGGCTGAAAGACACTGAAGAATACCAGAGCCTCTGCCTTCCAGGCTCTCTGCAGTTACACAGGGACACACAGAAACAACAAGGGACCTACCTGGTTTCCGTCCCCGCACAGAGTCACCTCCGACAGTAGCTCCCAGCCACCAAGGTCCCCGCTGTTTTCCTCACCCCATATAGGAGTGAGAGACCACAAGTTTGCCATGGCGGTGAAGTGGCGGGCTGCCTGCAGCCACTTCAGTCCCCCAAGCCCCCTGTGGGGCACTGGGGGGGTCACTGTGTACACTGGAAGAAAGCTGACCTTCGCCTGGGGCTCGGGCCCCCTACTCGAGTCCAGTTTCTTGTTCTCTCTCTCTCCTCTCTCCCTCTCTGGTTCCCTCGTGCTCTCTTCC